CCAAAGCACCAAAGAATTTGGGCGAATCAAAAGCAAACACAAACAATCCAATGGTCGCGCGTGCCGCCGAACGGAATGGCATGCAAAGTAACAACAAAGAAGCTCGCAGCATGAAAACTTGCAACAAGAAAACAGGCTCGCAAATAATCACCTGCCGAAGAACCACAACATGCCCTGGAAATCACTTCCCGTGGAGAAAACACCAGGGCTCTGAATGGCTACTAGCTGCTAGCTGCTACTGGCGCTGGCTGCTGGCTACTAGCTATGTGCACCTTTTGCGTGCTCTTGCCTAACGTGTCGTCTGACGCCCTAGAAAAACACAATTTTTCGATAGATTCTGTTGCTGGCGGCTGCTAGCAGTAAAACAAGTTCGAAAAAATCACCTCCCGGGGGGGAAAACACCAGGGCTCTGAAGGACGAGCGAGTGCCAGAACCACGCCAAAAAAATCCCTAACGTATCGTCTGAAATCCTAGTAAAAATCTATCTAGATTTTTTGGTACGCTGCTGGCTACTGGCCGCTGGCTGCTACTGGCGCTGGCTGTTATTTTTTGGTACGCTGCTGGCTACTGGCCGCTGGCTGCTACTGGCGCTGGCTGCTAGCTACTGGCTATGTGCACCTTTTGCGTGCTCTTGCCTAACGTGTCGTCTGACACCCTAGAAAAACACAATTTTTCGATAGATTCTGTGTCGTCTGACACCCTAGAAAAACACAATTTTTCGATAGATTCTGTTGCTGGCGGCTGCTAGCAGTAAAACAGGTTCGAAAAAATCACCTCCCGGGGGGGAAAACACCAGGGCTCTGAAGGACGAGCGAGTGCATGCTTTGCCAGAAACCACGGGGCCAAAAAAAGTCCCCTTAACCCTTTAACGTGTCCTTGGTTGTCGTCTGAACTCATAGAAAGAAAAATCTAGATTTTTGGTACGCTGCTGGCTACTGGCCTGGCTGCTGCTACTGGCGCTGGCTGTTAGCTACTGGCTATTTTGCGTGCAACCGTTTGACACCCTAGAAAAACGATGATTCTGTTGCTGGCGGCTGCTAGCAGTAAAACACATTCGAAAAAATGTCGTCTGACACCCTAGAAAAACACAATTTTTCGATAGATTCTGTTGCTGGCGGCTGCTAGCAGTAAAACACATTCGAAAAAATCACCTCCCGGGGGGGAAAACACCAGGGCTCTGAAGGACGAGCGAGTCCCAGAACCACGCCAAAAAAGTCGCTAACGTGTCGTCTGAAATTCTAGAAAAATCTAGATTTTTTGGTACGCTGCTGGCTACTGGCCGCTGGCTGCTACTGGCGCTGGCTGCTATAGCTACTGGCTATGTGCACCTTTTGCTAGCTACTGGCTATGTGCACCTTTTGCGTGCTCTTGCCTAACGTGTCGTCTGACACTCTAGAAAAACACAATTTTTCGATAGATTCTGTTGCTGGCGGCTGCTAGCAGTAAAACAGGTTCGAAAAAATCACCTCCCGGGGGGGAAAACACCAGGGCTCTGAAGGACGAGCGTGTGCCAGAACCACGCCAAAAAAGTCCCTAACGTGTCGTCTGAAATCCTAGAAAAATCTAGATTTTTTGGTGCGCTGCTGGCTACTGGCCGCTGGCTGCTACTGGTGCTGGCTGCTAGCTACTGGCCATGTGCACCTTTTGCGTGCTCTTGCCTAACGTGTCGTCTGACACCCTAGAAAAACACAATTTTTCGATAGATTCTGTTGCTGGCGGCTGCTAGCAGTAAAACAGGTTCGAAAAAATCACCTCCCGGGGGGGAAAACACCAGGGCTCTGAAGGACGAGCGAGTGCCAGAACCACGCCAAAAAAGTCCCTAACGTGTCGTCTGAAATCCTAAAAAAAATTATAGATTTAGATTTTTTGGTACGCTGCTGGCTACTGGCCGCTGGCTGCTACTGGCGCTGGCTGCTATAGCTACTGGCTATGTGCACCTTTTGCGTGCTCTTGCCTAACGTGTCGTCTAACACCCTAGAAAAACACAATTTTTCGATAAATTCTGTTGCTGGCGGCTGCTAGCAGTAAAACAGGTTCGAAAAAATCACCTCCCGGGGGGGAAACACCAGGGCTCGAGCGTGGGCCAAACCACTCCAAAAAAGTCCCTAACGTGTCGTCTGAAATCCTGGAAAAATTTATAGATTTAGATTTTTTGGTACGCTGCTAGCTGCTGGCCGCTGGCTGCTACTGGCGCTGGCTGTTAGCTACTGGCTATGTGCACCTTTTACGTGCTCTTGCCTAACGTGTCGTCTGACACTCTAGAAAAACACAATTTTTCGATAAATTCTGTTGCTGGCGGCTGCTAGCAGTAAAACAGGTTCGAAAAAATCACCTCCCGGGGGGGAAAACACCAGGGCTCTAAAGGACGAGCGAGTGCCAGAACCACGCCAAAAAAGTCCCTAACGTGTCGTCTGAAATCCTAGAAAAATCTAGATTTTTTGGTTTTTTGGTACGCTGCTGGCTACTGGCCGCTGGCTGCTACTGGCGCTGGCTGCTAGCTACTGGCTATGTGCACCTTTTGCGTGCTCTTGCCTAACGTGTCGTTTGACACCCTAGAAAAACACAATTTTTCGATAGATTCTGTTGCTGGCGGCTGCTAGCAGTAAAACAGGTTCCAAAAAATTTACCTCCCGGGGGGGAAAACACCAGGGCTCTGAAGGACGAGCGAGTGCCAGAACCACGCCAAAAAAATCCCTAACGTGTTGTCTGAAATCCTAGAAAAATCTAGATTTTTTGGTACGCTGCTGGCTACTGGCCGCTGGCTGCTACTGGCGCTGGCTGCTAGCTACTGGCTATGTGCACCTTTTGCGCGCTCTTGCCCACGTTCTTGACACCCATTGGTGCCATCCTAGAAAAACACAATTTTTCGTGCTGCTAGCTGCTGCACTGCTGCCGTTGCGCTTACTGCTGCTGCGTCTGCTTGTGTCTGCTGCTGCCTACTGATGCTTGCTGCTGCCTGCTGCTGCCTGCGGCAGCCTGCTGCCTGCTGCTGGTGCTGCTGCTGCTGTGGTGCTGCTGTCGTGCTGCTGCAATCAAAGAGCTTCCAAAGCAAGAAACAACTGCTGCTGCTGCTGCTGCTGCTAACGTGTCGTCTGACACCCTAGAAAAACACAATTTTTCGATAGATTCTGTTGCTGGCGGCTGCTAGCAGTAAAACAGGTTCGAAAAAATCACCTCCGGGGGGGAAAACACCAGGGCTCTGAAGGACGAGCGAGTGCCAGAACCACGCCAAAAAAGTGCCTAACGTGTCGTCTGAAATCCTAGAAAAATTTAGATTTTTGGTAGGCTGCTGGCTACTGGCTGCTGGCTGCTACTGGCGCTGGCTGCTAGCTACTGGCTATGTGCACCTTTTGCGTGCTCTTGCCCACGTTCTTGACACCCATTGGTGCTATCCTAGAAAAACACAATTTTTCGTGCTGCCTAACGTCCCGTCTGAAATCCTAGAGAATCCTATATCCTATAGAAAATCCTAGATCTAGATCTAGATCCTAGTTCGGGAATCCTAGCTGGGCCAGCTGTTTCGGCCGAATCCCCCAGAATCTCCTAAACAATATTATAGCTGGGCCTGCTGTTTCGAAACGGTTCCGAAACAGCAAAACACCACCTAATTTCGTGCCCAAAACGTAACACATGAACCCAAAAAAACTCACCTGCTGCTGCTGCTGCTGTTGCTGCTGCTGACAGAAGAGTCGCAAGAGCACCTCCCGGCACCAAAACAGCAAGGCACGGAAGCATCAGCTCACCTGCTGCTGCTGCTGTTGCTGCTGCTAACAGAAGAGTAGCAAAAGCACCTCCCGGCACCAAAACAGCAAGGCACGGAAGGACGAACAGGCCCTAGAATCGCACCGAAAAACTGCCTAACGGCCCTTCTGAATTCCAAGAAAAAATGTCTTTTTCCCAACCGTTTCCGCTCTTTCAATCTCCCATCTGCTCACCTGCTGCTGCTGCTGTTGCTGCTGCTGACAGAAGAGTCGCAAGAGCACCTCCCGGCACCAAAACAGCAAGGCACGGAAGGACGAACAAGCCACAGAATCGCACCGAAAAACTGCCTAACGTCCCTTCTGAATTCCTAAGAAAAAAAAATATCTCTGTCTCTTTTTCCCAACCTTTTTGTCTCTGTCTCTTTTTCCCAACCTTTTCCGCTTTTTCAATCTCCCAGCAGCTCACCTACTGCTGCTGCTTCTGCTAACAGAAGAGTAGCAAGAGCACCTCCCGGCACCAAAACAGCAAGGCACGGAAGGACGAACAGGCCACAGAATCGCACCGAAAAACTGCCTAACATCCCTTCTGAATTCCTAGAAAAAATGTGTCTCTGTCTCTTTTTCCCAACCTTTTCCGCTTTAACGTCCCTTCTGAAACCCTATTAAAAATAGTCTTTTGCCAATACTCCGCCACACCCAAACACCATGGCAGTGAAGGACAGACGCGCCACCTTTTGCCAATTTTGCGAACCTTTTCCCGGTTTCGACCAATTTTTATACCACTGTTTGTACAATGAGACATAGAACCTCGAGGATGCGGCCTCGAACGAACAAATCAGAGCGGGAAGGGCAACCCAAGGAGCCCCACGTACCTCGAGGAGACTCCGGGAAGGACCCCCCACCGGTAAAACAAAAACCCCGGAGTCAATGAATCGACGTACGTGACCGGTGGGAGGGGGACCCAACAGGGTCCCCCGGCAAAGGGTCATTGTTGTTGTTGTTGTTGTTGTTCTTGTTCTTGTTCTTGTTGTTGTTGTTGTTGTTGTTGTTGTGGTTGTTGTGCTGCTGCTGCTGCTGCTGCTGTTTCTATCTACTGTAGCTGCAGTAGTATAGTAGTAGTCGCAATGTCTTATTCCCTGGCGCGCTCCCCCTTGCGTCTGCCGGGGTCGGCGGATATATATATATATTTATATATATATATTTATATATTTATATATATATATTTATATATATATAATTATATATATATATATATATATATATTTATAATTATATATATATACATATATATATATATATATGTGTATTATATATATTATTATATATTCATATGTGGCATTGTATGGTAGTATATCATTTAAGCAGATCACTGGTAAGAAATCCCCATGCGATAACACCATAGTATGCTACACCCCTTTCCAGTCCTGTAAGGCCGAAGACTTTTCTTCCCTTTTCAATGTGGCTTTGAGCAACTTTGAGAGTGTGGATGTGTACTTAGTCTTCCCAGACACATCTTGCCACTTCGATGCACAAAAAAAAAATGTGGACATGGTATCAAACGTGGCACGATTTGTGGAACCCCAAATGTAGTTTCCATCAGGTTTGGATTCATGCACGAGCATGTTGAGAGGTTCAACACAGGATGCATACCGAGGGAATCAAAGTCTCTAGCACCCAAGCATCTACAACCATCATCTCCAAACATGACGTCATGTCGAGTCATGTCTCATCATGCTGGGAAAGGTAAACAAGATGTCGCGCTCTTCAAAGAAGCAGCGTCAATTTTTCATCACAACGACCTCCGGACCTTCCCTCTATGCCAGCGTGATGAACTGACTCCAGCTGGAGGCTCAGTGAATGTTTTGATGAACCGATGAACCGTTCGTCCAGCATTGGTGTAAATCGTGGTAAATCACCATAGCCTTACCCTTTGTCGAATCAGCATCCCATTAATAGATATACATTATCATATATGGTTATGGAATGTTATGGATATACTATACAGTAGATATATGTAGATATAAATATAGACATGATTCAATGAGATAGTATATATTATTCAATTCTCTTATATGGACATATAAATATACTATACTATTCTGTCATATTCTGTACCTGTTTCGTGATACCATGATACCGTGATACCCACCAGATCCTATCCTAAGGGTATCCATCCAGGGTTTTGACTCCAAGCGAGGCGGAGCTCGACTTCGAAGATTGGTTTCAGAATCACGAGTGGTGGGTGCGGGACTCGATGATTTTCATGTTGTTTTCGAGTGAAAAAAAGACCGACCGACCGACCTCAAAAAACCAAGGAATTGCGAGCAGTTAGTTCTTTGTCTTGAAGGTGAGATACTATTAGAATCCATTAGATGCTATACAGAAATCTCATGAAATCTCTTGATACTCAAACCACATCATTGCTTCAAGTCCCGCACTTCGAGGCCAAACACTGGCACGCCAAGGGCTATGGAGGCAACAATCAAACTGCGGCACTACGCAGGTTAATGTTAGCCAACAAACACGTCACAGCTTGTGCCAAGGAGGCGCCGCACAAGCTGGCAACATCCCGATATATCCCGATGTTTGTTGGCTATATCATCCCTGTCTCCAAATTCCAAATCATTCCAAATAACATCAAATAACCCTAACAAGTTTCTTTCGCGTGTGTTGATGTGTGACAAGTTTTGTTTCAGGATATTCAATGACTGGCCTTTTTTGTTTTTGTTCTTTGTTCTTGCAGGTGAGCAGCAGAGCCACAGACTATCGTTTCGTGTCGCGCCTGCGGCCGGATGTCGAGTGGGTCAGCTTTGTTGACCGAAAGTCCTTGGAGATGAGTGTGCCAGGTGCAGCTGATTTCCCGAAAGCAAAACCCATGGTCTTGGAAAAACGCGACATCTATATCATGTCTGTATCATGTGTACATAATATATATATAATATATATATATATGTATCTATATATATATATATAACATGTATATGTGTATATCACGAAAGCTAGCGTCAGCTAGCTGGAGTCTTCTTGCTTTAGCAAGTATTGGGGGGGCTGCTCAAGGACATCACGTGATTTTTCACGTGAAAGGCCCCCCCCCTCCCCCACCACCACCACCATCATCACCACCATCACCATCATCATCGTCATCATCATCGTCATCGTCATCGTCATCGTCCTCTCCATCGTCCTCGTCATCATCATAATCGTCATCATCATAATCGTCATCATCATAATCGTCATCATCATCGTCATCGTCCTCTCCATCGTCCTCGTCCTCGTCCTCGTCCTCATCATCATCATCATCATCATCATCATCATCATCATCATCAGGGTCGTCCTCGTCATCGTCCTCGTCCTCGTCATCGTCATCGTCATCATCATCGTCATCATCATCATCATCCTCGTCGTCCTCGTCATCGTCCTCGTCCTCGTCATATCGTCATTGTCATCATCATCGTCATCATCATCATCATCATCCTCGTCATCATCATCATCATCATCATCATTCATCATTCATCATTCATCATTCATCATTCATCATTCATCGTTTATCATTCATCATTCATCATTCATCATTCATCATTCATCATTCATCATTCACCATTCATCATCATCATCATCATCATCATCGTCATCATCATCATCATCATCGTTATTCAATTACATTTTATCATTATTGGCAATTATTGTCATTATCACGAAAGCTAGCGTCAGCTCGCTAGAGTCTTCTTGCTTTAGCACGTATTCCGGGGCTCCCCAAGGACATCACGTGATTTTTCCCGCGAAAGGGCCCCCCCTGCCCTCCCCCATATATATCATTGTTATATATCATATATCAATATATCATTGTTGCATCCTCGTTGGGACGAACAATGCCGCGACACGATGTTGACAGTCCCTCCGCAACTCACCTCTTCCCTTCCTTCTTTCTCCTGCCCCGCTAGCTTTCGTCATCCACCCCCGGCCTCAAGTATATATATATATACACATAATTACATATCAGATGAAATCAGCTCTGAAAATTTCAGGATTCTTATTCTCCCGTCATCAATGCCGCTGCGCAGGTCGCGTGCTGGCTAATTTTGTGGCTATGCCAATTCAAGGCGTGGTAGAGGATACCTTTTCCATTGGTGCTCCAGAGGATATGAAAAAGTACTTCAGCTTTTATGAGAAGCAACTCCTTGACGTGACCAACCTGGAGCAAACAAACTCGCCTTGGTGTGTGGCACATGCCACTCTGCGAGATGCTACTCATTGCAAGACACCTGGCTCAAGCTGAACACTTGTTTGTTTTGCTCATTGGCTGAATTTCCAGAGCAGGATTTGCGCCATTCGGCTTAACATTTAGATGTAGAAGTATGTAGCAAGCAAAAATAGATGAATTATCACTAAGGCTGGCCGTTTCGAGCTCCTTTTCCCACTTCCCATAGCCACTTGGGTTTGTCTGAGAATGGGATGCCTCGCCCATTTATGGTTTGTCATCATTTCTCCCATACACATTGCCATAAATTGCGGGCAAGTCCTCAATTTTCTTGGTTCCAAGCCCCTTTACCCTATTTGTTGGTTAGTTGCATATCCCACATGATATCCCCCTTGCATATTCCCCACTATATTCTCCCCATTTAGGACGGTAAGATCATGTTAGATCCCCACTTTTTGTAGCAGCTCAGGAAGATCTTTCCGGAGAATCTCCTGGAGGAGCACCTTCGTCGTCAGCAGCTGCAGCTCCAGAAGCGGCAAGACATTTGCTTCGAACGCCTGGCTCCCTGCATGCAGCAGCGGAATCATTACTGCCACCTGGCGATCCGTTGGTCAACTCTCTCAGGTTCTCCGGGTGCCAATTTATAAAGCATGTTTTCGAGTCCCGACGTCGGGATGAGATTGCTTCAACTTGGAGACTGTACTGCTCACAGGCTTGATGTTTAGATCTGTGCTTGGTCGCTGATTCAAGGAGCTTTGATCATCTTTGATCTAAAGCAGGGTGATCAGCTAAGGCACGCGCTACAAGCAGCACCCCAGGGGATATTCGCAGAGCCATTCCAAGGCCTTCTTGGAAGGCGATCGTGATTTCTTCCTCACAGCTTCAGGGTCACTTGGACTTAGACAAAGCAAGATCACTTGGAAGCTCTCTGGAAAGGCACCGCTCCAGAAGTGAGGGAAAAGCCTTTACAGGTGAATGGAACACATATGAACATGTGCTGGCATCTTCAAATCTGGACTAGCATTTCAAGAGCTTTTTTTATGCTTCTTTCCATCACGTACAGTAAGGACTCCCAACTTGCCGCAAAGCCTAGCAGGTTTGCTAAAGCGTGCACTGATAGACTTGACTAATGCACGCATTCGCGATGATTCACCGTTCAGCTTCGTCATTCAGATGGGTGTGTCTGAAAATAGATGAACATGTGGTATCCCCCCATTTGCATGATTTCCCCCACGGTTTTTCATCATTTCCCATTCGATTGCCATACTCCGGGGAAATCCTGAGGTCATATGCAGACTATGACACTGTCCTTGCTGCACGTTTTGTTCATTTCTTCTTGTCTGAAGCGATTCGCCTTGGCCATCCACCTCGAATTATCGACATGGGTTGTGGAAGAGGATCCTATGTCGAGGTCTTCAAGTCCTGGGGATTGCCAGTCATGGGCATCGATGGCAACTTGTCCATTCCATGGTGGGATCTTTGGGGTTTCAGATGGTTTCATGTCGACTCCCAGTCTCCCCTTATGCTGTTTTGGTGGCTTGTGGGAGAATAGTGGCAGCATCCAGCAAATGTCGACAGTCGATAGTTGACAGCATGTTGAGATTGCAAGATGTTTGCTGTTGACGTTTAGGCTGCGGAACATTGTATCTTTCATTAATATGCTTTCATAAATATGCTTTCAATCTTTTTCAGATTCACGGTGAAATCCTGCAGGCAACACAGTCATCACACGCTCTGTTCGAGTGAATTCCTTCCTCTGGGATCTCACTGAACCTCTGGACCTGAAGACGGCTTTCGAAGGAAAAACCTGCCATTTCTATCTGATTGACCATCACAGCCAAGCAGAGAAGGAGAGAATTGAGAGAGTGTGGATTTGGTCTGAAAATGGGGTGTATACCTCAAGCATCCCATGGTTTAGCATCGTTTTCACCATCACAATAGCTACTTGGGGCATCCCCGATTTTTGCACAAACCCCATGCTGCGTGTGCCATTGTGAATTGCAGCGAATGTCGGTAGGCCTAGGAAAGAAGGCCCGTAGTTGATTCACATCTCCTGCCATGGCTGGATGCTACTGGCTAAATCTCCCATCCTCAGACTCTCAGTTTTTCTTATCACTCTTTTGATCGCAGGAATATGTCAAGCAGGTGGTGTCCGTCCTTGGAAAGGGAGACTTGCACCTCTATATGTTTGCCATGGTCCCACGGATCGACGCGACTCATTTCTGGGCCTCCAAGCATCCTGATGGCCACCCAGAGGAAGTCTTGATGAATCAAGCGGAAGCTGGACCCTCAGTCCTCAATGTGGAGTCATGGAACCATTTGGAAACTGGTTGAATATACTTTGAGTATCTTTGAGTATGACCCAGTTTCTCGAAAAGCTCGGATCATGTTAATTTGATTCATCTGCTGTGAGTCGGAATGAAATATACTTCCGTACTTTGCATGGTACGATTAGTTCTATTTTCAGCGGAGGATTGAGTTAGGGCCGGGACCATTTGCAGGAAACTCTCACCATTGAACATAGCCAGAGTCTATCCAAGTCTGGCTTCCCCCTCACTTTACTATCCAATTCCTGGCATATTTCTCAGATGGCCAACTATCTGCGGAGCCTTTGCTGTGCTGATGAGCGCTGCGCTGCCTTTGCCTTCACAGAAGGTGGAGGACGCTGGGGCATGGGTAGTTGTGAACACAGCATTTGATGAATGGACGTTGCACCACTGTGGACCATGGATGTTGCAGATTGCCGATGTTTACATATTTTTACTACTCAATAGATAGTGAAATATGACAATGATATCTAATCTCGGAAGGGAATATTTTGTTGGGATCTTTCAGGGGATGATTTAGCTTGAAACGAAGCTGGAGAGGCGCCTTGCTCGCATGGGCTCCGGCCAACTCCACTGATACTTGGCACCGAAATCTGAAATATGTTTGAAAAAACACAGCCACTAGAGGAGCTTTTTGGATCAACCTCACACATCCTCACACATGTTTTTTCACATGTTTTTTTCATTTTTTTTTTCCACTGAGGCAGAGAAAGACTTCGAACCCCAAGGTGGAAACGTGTGGTACCAGGCTCTGGATTTGTGCTGGGGGTTGAGTGAACTTCCACCAAGCCCACCAGGATCTTTTTCTATGACCGCCAACAGTCCCACCAATGGAGAAGCTCAACCATCGCCAGAATCCACTTCTAGGGCCCGTATTGTGATGTGAATTCTGCAAGCAAATTTCTATGAGACAGGCCACTGGAGAACCTTTGGTGAATACCAGCGACATCTTCGACATCGGAGGTCCTGGCGATTTCGCTACCTTCAAGATGCAGTGATTTGGCGATCGGATTTATACCTTGGGTTGTTTGAGAATGTTTGGGATTGGGATACCCCAATTTATGGCCATTCAACCCTGGGAAATCTGGGCAAAGGATACATATGGATGAACCACGACATTTTTTGGGGGGCCTGACAACATAACATATCGATACTCGATACTCTGTTGATCTTTCCTTTGAAAGAAACAGGATCAATGGGAAGATTAAGCAGGCGAATCGATGACTGCTTCCAGCATTTTGCCTGCATTTTCGCTATAGTTTATGAGATGGTTTTCATGAAGAATCCATGAGACGGATCAACATCTTCTCAAAAAGCCTGGACATCTCCACGGTCCACCCTGGATGTTGGACCTGAGGTATGCTGAGATGGAGGTGTCGTTCAGCATCGCAGATTGGGTGGTCTCTTTGGGTGTTGGGGCGGAGATTCCCAGGATGGGCGAGAAGCTTGGCAGTTTGTTGTTGATTTCCTGTTGGCAAAAGCTTTTGACCTCTGGCAATTTAGCTATGGAACATGGCCCATTTGTATTAGAGATGTTTTAGGTCACGGCACCCCTCGGGGGGCGGTACTGTTGTCACTTTTGCAATGGTTTGGGGGGGGGGTTCGGGGGTGGGTTTCTAGAGGGGTGGGGGTGCTACTTGCGTACATAGATGATTTTAGGCTGTAAGATATTTCCCCTAACCTTCGAACATCGTTGATGATACGGTGTAAGATATTTTCCTGAACTTTCAAGACGCTCTTGATGCTATGTTGTAACATCCATTTCAAGTAACTTGCAAGACGCACTTGATGCATCTTGATGCTACGTTGTAACATCCATATTAAAAAAACAAAAACATACATTCCAGTGGAATGTGCAAGGCACAAACGCTGCTCTCATGAAACACTGTCTAATATAGCAATGGTTGCACGAAATCTTGGCCCCTGGAAACTCCCTATGGGATGAGTTGGGTAACCATGGGTAACCATGGGTAACCCCTGTATTTACAAACCACAACAAGAAAGTTGGAGCATGGCGCTACGCCTGATAAAGAGATATAAAGAGAGCGTAGTTGAAAGGTCTGTTTCAAGAGCGCTGAAAGGCTGAAAGCGCCGCACTTCCACAGGCGCCGTAACCATGTTTTACCTATAAACAATCGTGATTTTTCATAGCTATGTTAAATTCCAAGAGGGTAGTTGTCAGTTTTGTTGTTTCAACCGGCATCCAATTCCTGGCTCCCAGGTATCCCAGGTCCCTTTCTTGCTGTGTGAAGACTAATCATCCCGAGGAAAGTGTTTGTTGCAAACCTGGTCCGGCATGCAGAACAGGGTGTAGGGAGCTTAGATATGGAAAAGCCCCGCTGTCGCATCATTTCTTGAATTGTAAAGGGATCGCAGCCCACACAGCTTGCATGCTTTGGAGATCTTTGGAGCGCTTCTTCTTGTCTGCTTTTGTTGAGGCCAAAGCCTCATTTCTACTGATACTTATATATATAATATAATTATATATATATATAATCATATAAATATATAACATGATTACAATTTAATTATATATACGTATATGTATAATACTTGGGAATATTACATTTCAGTTCCAACGCTTTTCTCTCTGCATTTGACGAGGTGATCATACGCTGGGGCAGCCAAGGGCAAAATCCTCGATCAGTAGAAGAGGCGATCTGGTGGTTTTCATCTTGACATAGCACTTTCTTTCTGGGGTTGTCCAAAAATGGAGTGTAGCCCAAGGCCAATTTTCATAATGGGGAACATGATGACTACGCCTGAGATTTTTGGGCAAAAAACATGGGAACCACCAGGTTTTGAAGATCTTCCAGGACCATGGCTTCGAGTTGGATGAAGCTGCGATCCTTGGGCACGACAGGCTGGAAATGGCTGGAAAATGTCGATGATTAGTTCGGGGGATTCTACTACCAAATGGGAGCATGTATCATCATCCATTCCCAGGAATCATCCATCCAATAACTTGGGATTATAATTGGATTGCACTACCCAATAATAATTCATGGGAATATATATATATATATATTATATAATATAATATAATATAATATAAAATAATATAATATAATATAATATGATATAATATGATATAATATAATATAATATAATATAATATATAATAATATAATATATAATAATATATAATAATATATAATATAATATAATATAATATAATATATAATATATAATATAATATAATATAATATATAATATAATATAATATAATATAAAATATAATATAATATATAATATAATATAATATAACATAATATAATATAATACAATATAATATAATATAATATAACATAATATAATATAATACAATATAATATAATATAACATAATATAATATAATACAATATAATAATATAATATAATATAATATAATATAATATAATCATATATAATATAATCATACATAATCCATAATCCATATTATAGGAATATTAGGAATCGCCCACTAACCAATGGTTTCTTGCTGTCGACATCTGACGCAAAGCCCGAGGACTTCGTCTTTGAAGTTTTTCTCTGGCCTGGTGCATGCACCAGAGCGAGACGATCTCCTGGTTCTGCGAAGACTTTCAGCCGATCTTCAGGAGTCAACGTCCTTGGGCATTGCATTTGGACCCATTTTCTCTCCATGTTTTGTTACCCAGCCCTGTTTTCCAACATTTTAAACAGTATTTCAGCACTGTTTTGAGGGCAACTCCCCCAAATTTGTCTGGGTTTGTCGTCAAAAACCTGGGAAGTCGATGTGATCATCATGGCGGGGGCTTTTTGAATTGGGCCTCAATGAGGCCCCAAAGTGACGCGGATCTCCAACTTATTGATGAGTTCCTTGGATCTTGGAAGATCTTGTAAGTGGGCACCCAGAGATTTTGGAAGCGAATTGGGGAGGCCATGATTCATGGAATTCTGGCTGAATCGTTTGCACTTGGCGAATGTCAGACCGAGCGACCGAGCATGATATTCAAGAAGATAAAGGAATTTGAGATGTTTTGACATGGCATTAACCCTTCACAGAAAACATCACTTTAAGTTCGGAGGCTTGGAATAGTTGAATTCCTTAATCTCAAATGATCTCAAATTATGATCAACAGCAACTTCGTGGTCCCTGGTACTAGTCAACCTACTTCAACGGCAAAAGCCAGCAAGGGCCTAGTTGTTTTTCCCCCATACCGTGGCATGGCTGGTCCACAACAGAAGTTCCCATGGACACCCTCATCAAGATGATGTGCATCTTTGATTGAGATAATCTTGGGTATCAGAACTGATTGTCACCCATGGCCCATCATCACCAGAATACCCACTCTATATGTGTCAAAGTTCGGGTACCACTGGGCCCTCACAAGATATTATATAATATATTCAAGTATCGTTCTTATGAAACCATATAAAACCATCGATCTTTGGAGGTTTGATCATATTAAAACATAGGAAACACCACTTGCGGAGGTGGGGCGGCGACAGATGCAGCTTTGCTGGCGAACTGCAACATGGGCTCCAGGCCTGCGTGAAATGTGTGGATGGATCCTGTTTAAAAACTCGATGCAAAAAAACCTACAACCACGGATCAACTATGATCAACTTGTTCAGGAATTGAACCAACCCTTCGGTAATGGTCAATGCCCTGCAGGGAGCAAGATCACAGTATGGCCCGCTGGGGCCAGGTCGCAACTCGGCACAGAGCTGTGACGGTGGCTCTCATGCTCCGCTGTCGTGCGCTGTGTCTGAGGCATGTGGGTGAGTGGCAACTGCGTGGGGCTCTTTCGTGCAGGACAGTCAACTTCCGGGCACAGGGAACGTCCAAAGAAAATTTAGGAACTGATCTTGAATGGTGTTTCGGGTGTTTTCATGGCTTGGGGGTACCGGATGGTTTTGCAAGAGATATCCATGTGGCCAGAATGGATTTGATTGTCAGAGTCTTCAATGGGTTCCTTTCTCCACGTTCATGCCTCCGGAGGCTATTCTAGGCACCTCATGGCAGATCGATTCAAAAGGACCTCAAACAGCTTGCAATCACTTGCCATGACCACGAAGTAGTCAAAGCTGACTATGCTGCAGGTGGTGAATGTTCTGTGCACTCATATCCACTCCCTTTCGACCATTGGGTACGCATCACATCCGATCATTCCAGATGTTGGTACCTGTTGGAGGGGCACAGGAAGCTGCAGACACTGGTCACAGTTCTTTCCAAATCAGCCAGGAAATTCTGGCGAACCTGTCCTTTGCAGCAGTTACCCAGCTGCCTATCAGCGGTAGCAGGGGTCACTTGAGATAGCTTGCCCAAGGATGTCTGCCAGTACCGCACCTTAAACGTGGGAATTGATCATGCCAAGAACTTTGCTCACAAAGAAATAGGGAGGCGCACCCCATGTCCCAGGCCAGCACAAGAAGTTCCAAGAATGCACGTTGCCCGGCTTGACCCACCATCAGATGGCCTTTGATGCGGAGCCAGGAGACTTTCTGTGACGGCAAGGGTACTGGGCTTGAGCTAACAACTTGATGGCCGGCTTGCAATGGTCTGTGCCGATTTTGACAGAGTATTGCAGCTGCACCCGCAATTTTGGCTCTGTTCAGCATCATGTACTGCTGAACTACAGATGTTTCGCAATCAGAATGAGTAACTTGATCAACTTGCACGCTTCCTAGATTTTGATTCCATAAAACACGTCACATACGTCACATACTTTTGCGGATCCACCCGAACTGGTGAGCTGCTATGGGCTGTGTGTCTTCGCATGGCGGCTGTGTGTCTTCGCATGGGCTCTTCAAGCTGATCGCTGATCGGATTGAACGGAAATGCACCTTGGACATCCATGGATTATGAGCCCATTGAGTAGAATGGATATGACGGAGAACATATAAAATTTCATTGATGTATACCCCCTTGATGATGATTATATAATGGCATAGTGTATTCACATGTCTGTACGTGTATATATATATATACATCAACACACATAAGAGCTGCGGATTATGATTTCATCGGCGCTAAGTAGAATCCCTTTTGGCCAAAATGAAGCTTCTAGCATGAGAAAAACTCTAAATACTTTTATGTTTCAGATGATTATCTCTATTTATCGTTCAATATTGTTGACGACTGGTAGGTCGAAGACAGTCAGTGGAAGACATAACACTAGCTCAGTTTGCTTCTGTCCAAGTTTAGACGCCCTTGTTCCATCCTGGGGACAAACAAATTGCATGTGGAGCTGCAACGACACCAGCCCCTGACCCCCACGACCTTTTAACTTTTTGTGAGGCACGCAAAGGCAGAAGTTCCACCGCCTGGGCTCGAAAGCAACGCTGTCCGAGCGCTATAGGAAAACCTCGCAGATCCTGGGCGCGGGGCTGTCTGGAGCGGTGTTCCTGGGCGAGGATGAGAGTGGCAGGAAGGCTGGGAGTTGGAGTTGTTGGAGCTGTTGGAGCTGTTGCTGGGGCGGGGAAATGGATGCCATAAAGTGCCATAAAGACATGGCAGATGATTGCAGATGATGGCAGATGGGGAATTGAGCTTGAGATGTCTGGAGATGTCTTGTTGAGCCGCGGTCAGATGTCTTGCAGGTGGCCATCAAGACTTTGAGATCTGGCGCTTTTGTGAAAAATCCGGAGAAGATGGTGAAGCACCTCTCCAGGGAAGTGGTGCCCTGGTGATGGTCCAGTCCAAATGCTGGCCGCTACCCAGGGGCCTCATTGTCGGTTGTACAGAGTTCCAGGGGTTTCAGTTGTTGATTTGGGTGGCATTCTCAGTGTTTTCAACGCTACCTGGGCCGCAGGGGTTCTGGGGTGACGACCAGATGACAAATACTCTTTAGGGGGTTGAAAGCCCAAAATTCGCCATCTATTGGATAATGTATATATATATACCAGGGGTACCAAACGGGTGCCGTAGTGGGACCCCTTAGCCAAAAAACACTGTGGGACCCCTTATTTTTTTAGGTGGTTTAGAGGTAGTTTGGAGGGTTCTTGACCATGCATCTCAATTTTTGATCGCTGAGGGCCCAGGTTCACCCGCAATGGCCACACTGCAGCCTGGCCACCGGCTCATGTAGGAATGATCGACCAAAGGCATGGGCATCAGGTACAACACCTTCAAAGCTATGGAATGGTTGGCACTGAATGGCCCAAGTTAAAACAGATAGGTAATAGAGTTACTAGAGGTGCAAGGTACCCCAACACAATGTTAAGTATCATTAGAAGGAAATTCCGTCGTTGGACATCTGCCATGCCGAAGCGCAAGAGTGGCAGCAAGGATTTCAATGATGAGGCGAAGAGCCTTGTCCAACAACATATTTGGAGGGTTTCATCGGGAAAAAAAACATCAACATTCATTTTTAAAAACCATGACTGTGAATAAGGATCATGGCAAAAGCGTTGATGGCCCGTATCGATGATAAATGTATTGAATGGATCCGACGATCTGGTGAGTTTTGGCCTGGCGGAGACATCCGCGTTAGTGCCAATCAGTGGCTGCGAGCAGCATTCCATGACAGCTCCCTCAAGAAAGTTCTACGTGAGAACTCTATGAGACAAGCCTTACACATTGTTGTCAACAAGAAAGGGCTTCGTCTTCAACTGAGTTGATACGAAATTGTTTACTTTTATTTCCTGGTGAGCACATGTTCCAACATCATCCCCTGCCAACAATAAGGTTTTGGAAAGTCTGCCAACAATAAGGTTATGGTATGGGACAATGCATTTTCGGGAATGACAACAGCTGGGCATAATCTTTTGGAAAATGATATTTTTACCGAGCAAAAAGGGTTCATCTCCATTTCAAACCATGAGCCTGCAAGCTCGTTGGGCAAGTTACGGTAAAATCCCAAACGTAATCTGGTAAACTTTTTGGGCTAGAAATCTGAGAAAATTCCAAATCTATCCAAATCCCAAAAAAGGCGCGTGTCAAACGTGTCAGTGGCGTGTCTCGGGTGGTTCCTTGGGGGTCCCACAGTGGGACCCCTTAGGCTAAGGGGTGCCGTAGTGGGACCCCTTAAAAAGTGTCGGGGGTGCCCACCAAGTTCAGGGGGCGTGTCATTTCGTGTCGTGAAATCTCATTTTTGGTGGTTTGGTCAAAAAAAACGATCGATCTATTCTGTGGCTCCAGCGGGTTTTTTCGGGAACAACCTAGTCGATCTAGTTCCAGCCATGCCGGATGGAAAAGAGTTTGAGGCTGGCTAACCCTATTGAGTAGGGAAAACTCTGTAAGTAGTATTTGTTTATATATTATATATATATATATGGCTGACTATCCCTGATGTTTCATTTTCATGTGAGCATATGCACATGCTCCACTATTTATATCACAACGAACACTGATGTAATACTTGGCTGGGGGGCTATGTCGGCTACTTTACCTGGGCAGGTGAGCGCTGAGAAGATGAGGGCACTCAAAGCTCAAACTGTTCCGACAGAGGCTTTCAAAAAGTTTGAAAAGAAAAGAAAACAAGCACTTGAAGATATCGAGCAAAACAGAAAGGAAACAGCACCATGTGAGGTTAGACCATATCGTCTACGACTGTGCTCCAGAAGTTTCTCCACTGAAACTAAGCTGCTATACAGATGAGGACGCGATGGGAAAACTGAAGAAATTAGCGATGATTTCATATCCCAACCAGATGGGACGACAAGTTCTGTCACGCTACGCTGCATATACATGCGTGCGATGGCTTCGAAGACTCACAGAATAAGCTAGAGTATATACTCTAAATGTCAAAAGATGTCACTATGTATTTTTTTATGCTGTCATTTTGTGTACTGTGAGTTTTCGGCGACTGCATTTCCAACGACTCCCGTTGGCACCTTCTGAGCCTCTTTCCAAAATGTTGAGCTGGTCCAGCCGATGCCGCCGCAGCGCAGCCAGGTGTGAACTGGTGATTGATGGAATGGGGTTATTTGATAAGATTGCCAAAAAATACCTACAAATATATCTTACTATATCCAGCACATATGTTTTTAACAGTTGGTATGACCTTGGGAATAAGGGTTCCCGTAGTGGGACCCCTTAAAGATATCAACTTCCAAAAACACAGTGGGGCCCCTTTGGCGGTGCTGGTATATATATATATATGATAATATGGAGAATGACAGCACATTGTCTCAGGAGTTGTTGCTGTCGCTCAAACATCCCCACGTGGTGGAGCTTTTGGATGCCTTTGAGGGCTCTTCATCAATGACCGTCGTCACAGAATTGCTGAAAGGTGCGGTCCGCATGGCTGATTTTTGAAGCTTGAAACACCAAAGACTGATGGTTTCGTCGAGGGATGTATCAACTTATCAATCAACCTTCTTATAAAATTCTTTCTGTTTCTTCTCAGACACCCCATGATTGGAACACCTGCCAGCTTCACCCAGGAGGGACACTGCAGAGCTTCCTTTTGGATCAGGATAAACTGCATGAGCAGGACGGAAATTTTGCCATGATACAGGTCCAACATCTGTATTGCTTCCACCTCGGGGGTCTTCATATTCGATTCCCAAGCGCAGTGCGTGGCCGTGCCTTTAGGGTTTCAATCTCTGGGTTTAGGAATGGTGCATGGTTTGCTTGCCAAGCTCAAACCGGAGAACCTGGGAACCAGGAATTTGGGAACCCTGGGAACCCAAAACGCTGCTGTTGGGTTGCAAGGTGGATGAATCTGTCGATCGTTGCAGGAAGCTGTCCCGATTGCAAAGCAAATGTTCCTGGCCATCGGCTACTTGCACAGCAACTCGAGACCTGGCAGTGGATTGGATGGAAACAGTGAAGAAACAAGGAATGATAACTAAATCCAACAGGAGATCTGAGATATTAGTGTAACCACAATAAACTCCAATTGAGGATGGCTTATTATTGGGTTATCCTCATTATCATGAAGATCAAGAAACGCAGAATTCACGTTGAATTCACAGGGGGATGACTCAGGATTGTCCACCGAGACTTAAAGCCGGATCCTTGGCTGACATGGAATCCAGTGTGCTGTGGCTTTCAGGGGCCACTGTTTCTGATGCTTGGTACAGGGAGTTGTGGCACAACTTGGGAGTTTTAGGATAAGGCTTATAGGGCAACACATGCCATGTGCATTGTTGAGCTGCTTCGGAGCATACCAAGTTTCAAACATGGACAGTACTCTATTCGGGATCTTTGAACAACAAACACACTCACGTCTCAGCAGAGCAAAGTGACACATCCAAGGATAACTTCATGTTTGCAGGGCCAGGACTGTCAAGCATTTGCTAACGCAGTGATTTTCAAACTCCACCATTTGTGAGACACAGCCAGCTTACCTTTGTCCCTGCAGTTCGGATGGTCCAAGGGTCCAATGGTACCTGGTATCGACTGTATTTGGGTGCCACATGGTGCCACACTGCAGGACCAGGTGAAGGAGTGCTGAAGCTCATAGACTTCGGCTTTTCCAAACATTTCAGAGAAGGAAAGATGATGAAAAGCCACAAAGGCATGCCGGGCCATAGGGCACTAATTATGGATTTCCGTTGTGGAGTTTCCAGTGGAGTTTGTGGATCTGTTCTCTTGCTCCATCGCTCCATCGGCTCCATCGCTCCATCGGGCAGGCACCTTATCCTTTATGGCTCCGGAGGTACTTCAACACCAGTGGCTCGATGTCAGGGCTAGATGAAATACTTACCCTCTGGTAATTTAACATAGCTATTGAAAATGGCCATTTATAGTGAGTTTTCCCATTAAACATGGTGATTTTCCATAGTTATGTTAGTTTACCAGAGGGTAATGGAACCAACAGCCGAAGATCTGGCTGATGCTGATTGAAACAGTGAGAAAGTAGAAGAAAGAGGCAAGCACTTGAAGTGCCAGCACTGCCACAGAGAATGTGTACATCACAATTTACACATACACCAGTAAATAGACATAGACTCATAGACAGATTGGACAGTTTGCACTTTTTGTCATCAAGGTACACCTTCAAATGCGACACGTGGAGCTTGGGGGTGGTGGTTTTTCGGATGCTTCTTGGCTACCTCCCCTTCCAAGATGAAGTGGCAGTCCATCCCTTGCTGGCCCAAAACTTCGAAGCCAAAATTCAGCGGTACATCCTCGCAGGGAAGGTCATTATTCGTAACAAAGAGACTCGACTGACACAACCACGGCGAAAATGGTGAAGTCTGGACAGAGATTTCGGGTAATTATAAGGTCCATTAAGATCCAACAGATTTTGCACGAGGAAACGATTTCAGTTTTTTTTTGCAGTCAGCATGTTTGTATCATTTTGATTCATTTTGTGCTTTGTTTCCCTCCACCTTGCGAGCGTTCAGCGTTCGGAGCTAATATTCAGCTGCAAGAGCTTGGCAATCAAATCGAAATCGGGATGGGTCAAAACCAATAGGATCATATTATTGTTTTCGGATAAACAGCAATTTGCCAGTCATTTTGGTGTTCATACCAATCCACAGCAATATGATCTACTCACCTCCCTGTATGCACCCTGTACGAAGTCGACAAACTGCTGCCCTGCTTCGCATGCCGCCTGGATGCCAGGGGATTTTGCTTCCCTGGCTGCGCTCATTGTTCGCTACCCAAGGCAGATTGGGAGCAGCTTCCACGTGATGCCAAAGACTTCGTGAAGAGCCTGCTGACGGTGGATCAAACGAAGCGACCCTCCACAGCTGATGCCTTGAGACATCCTTGGCTGAATCAAACACTGCAGAGGCGGTCAGGTGTGATGCTTGGCAAGTTGAAGTTGATGCAGAGAACAGGGATCTAAAACATAGACAGGACACTGAGTAAGCCAAACTAATCCGAAGCATCCCTGGGCCGAGAAACTCAAATGTGTTCAGGCCAAGAGGCTTCGCATACCGATGGGGCATTTTAGGGCCTTTCGAGGACGAATTAGCCACGAAAGACGAGAGATACGGACACAGACCAAAGTTCCCCAAACATGCTTCGTGGCGCTGAGGAAATTGCTCTCATATTCCAACCTCACTTTGCTACCTATGCTGTCGTCGGCAGCTGCGCTAAATAGTCTCAGCAGAGCTTTCTTGATGTTGATGATTTGGATCAAGGTTCACCCCGGAGAATGGTACCCTGATGCTTACGATGCCTGTGAATCTGTAGATGGCACCAATGTGCACACTTGTCCCTGCGTGAACGATGGGAACTTGGTGAAAGCCATTCAAGATCCAAGAGTTGCACCGCAACCGGCATCTCATATTTTTCAGCTGCTGAACAAGTCTGGATTGAGTTCCCAAGATGCAAAACCTTTGCTGGAAGCACTGTTGGGTTTGGAATATACCATTTCAATGACAGATGTTAGTGAAGCATTTTCCATGATCGATATCCATCGAAAGGGCTACCTAACAGAGGAGGACTTGCAGCTGGTGTTCGGACCAGAGTTCCACGGCAAGACGATGCGCGAGCTCATTGCGGAGGCGAAGAAAGGCGAGACCGGTGGAGATAGCAGCCCTACTGGCCCTACTATGGATGGTGATGGTACCATTTCTGTCATCACTTACAAAGAGTTGCAGCAGCATTTGCAGAGGAGTGCTGGCCAGGTGCCAGTTGCTTCCCACTAAATGCCATCCCTGTGGCTGGATTGTGACCTGTGTGGTCCAGACATTCAAATCTGAGAGGCACTGCTTGACTGTGCAAAAAAAACAGCGGAAAATAGGACATCTACCAGCTGTTGTGTGGGTTTTCCTAGGAAATGGATGGCCAAAAGAGACCATGATCGCCAAGTTTCTTCGGATTGAGTTTCTTCACTTCCGAGAGGCTGTGAATGTCCCTGAGATTTCTCGCGGAGAACAATTATTCTGCATTCAGTTACGGGATGGACCAAAACCTAATATATACAAAATTTTTATACATTTTTTTTGGGAATGATCTATTCGATTCTTCATCAGATTTTTTCAGGGCTTTGATACACAGTCTGTCAGTGGAGCCAACGTCAGGACCAGAGATGGATAGCCTTGAGGCTTCTGCTCTTTATGACCTTGCAGACCACATGGTGCTCCAGTGAAATCCACGTTTGTTGATGCAGCCGTTTGCGTGTGGAAATGTCGTTGATATCGTTGAACCCCAGACGCATCAAGAGGGTGGGACGCTTCACTAAGAACGGCCTTCCCTGTTGGCTTTAGCTTGCAGGTACCCATGAAAGGCATTTGGCTCGGGGATGTTCGTATCATGGCTGCACCATGATCCCAGGATTCCCAGCTCCTGCACTTCTAGTTTCATCCACAGGTTACCGGTTAGCGAGATGTCAATGGGAGGGGACTCCTGTGACAACGTGAGGCCTAAACTTGGTGTTTTTCAAGAGACTGGGCGGCATCGCAGACATTGTCACGACTGAGGCCGAGCATGAAGATGTGAGGTCCCATCAAAGTTAGAATTTCCAAACTTAGATCCAACGATCACCCAAAATGGATCCAACTTAAATTCCAAAGTCAAACTATCCAACAGAACTTGATTCAAATTGAAATTTAACAGTTAACATATATATATATATACATACTTTAACAATATTTCACATGTTACATGCATAATCCAACTTGAATGATTCCGATCTTCAGACTTTTTCTGGATCCCAGGATTGCCCGCGCCATTGCCGCGCCCTTCCGGTGGAAGCAGCTCCGAAGTGCATGGACTGGTGGGGACCGGTCCATGTCCAACGTGTTGTTGGGGAAAGATGGTGATATTTGGTTATGAAATGATATTCATGGACATATCTTGGGATACATCATCTTATAATAAATAAACAAATAAATACATATATATATATTATTATTACTGTAGTATATATATATATGTATGTCCGTACAATATAGCATACATACATACATACATGCATGCATGCATGCATAGATAGATAGATAGATAGATAGATAGATAGATACATACATTTTACAATATGTAACCAACTATCCGATTTGGGAGTCTGTCGGAAAATAACACCCCCAAAACGGCAGTTCTTGAACGGGAAAATGATGAACAAACAATTGGATGGAATGAGGTACCCTATTTTGAGACAAACCAAGATTTGGTTGAGATTTCAGACCTGCTTTGATAGCGACGTGGCTTGTTTTTTACATAGAATTACTGTAGATCGATCAGAATTGATTCAATCATTCGACGCCCACCCCTAGAAATGGCCGGAGAAACACAAACCAAACCTTTGACGAGTTTTTCTTCCCTCCGATTTTTTTTCAAAGATTCACAACAATAGCCAGTGCTGTTTAGGAGTTGGTTCTGGAGCACCAGCTGGCCGATCCTCTTTGCTCAGCCACCGGAGCCGCACAGGCAAGCGTGTCAACCGGGTAAGTGACCTCAGTAGCAAGTTGTTGGGGGAATGTTGGAAACTTCATTGTGTGTGAAGAACTTGAACTGGAAGCTCAAGAACACCTGCCATGACCTGATTTGAGTGTGAGAAAGAGACCTGACTTGCCATGATTTTGGGTTGCAGCCAAGACTGAATAGGCTCACACCATGTCGCCAGGGTCTTCATACCATGGACGAAGACTGTGGAGACAGAGACTCAGAAACCTCTTTTTCACCTCACGTAACACGTAAAAAGTGGACAGCAATTGTCATTGGCTTTTGAGTTTTTCAATCATTTCTTCATCCCTCGGGTTCTTGGTTTCAGACTCTTGACCAACTTGCTGCAGTAGTGTACGCACTTGTACGCAGATACAGAACTAAAGCTTGCCAAAGTGTTTGCTCATGATTTAATTCAACAAAGAGACTCGCGGTTCCGACAAGTTGCAAGTTGATTTACTGGCTGTATGTCCCCCCTTCATTCCAAAGGCACAGGTGGCAGCAAGTATCATGTCGCACTCTGTTTTGGCTGAGGCGTGGAATTCCAGTGTGGCAAATAGGCCACCTGCCAAAATGGAAACCTCTTGGAGTTTCCCGACGTTGTCAGAATTCGCACATATTCAAACAGTGCCGGTTGATGTTCGGTCAGGTTTCAGAAGTTTCGAATTAAATCAAATTTCTGAAAGAACATAGTGGAATACAGATGCAAACTAAGCCTTCACTGTCCCGCCCCTTTGAGCTCTCCCAATTTGGAAATTAGCTGCAACGAAAAACACATTATACCAGTAGTACCCGCACGAGGCAGGGCGGAAGTTGCCCTAGGGTCATGCTATGAGACCTTTTCCATCTATAAAACTTGCATGCGCGGTGCGCCAGCGAGGCCCATGCGTGCGTGCTTTGTGTGAACCTGCTGCACTGTTGTTGTCCAAGAACATGGCCCGCACACGACCACGTTGCAATGCAACGCCAAGCGAAGACTTTGTGCTCCAAAAGTCACACTTGAAACGCCACACTTCACCCTTCACACTTCACACTTCATCTCACCTCATCTCATCTCATCTGATCTCTTCTCACCTCACCTCATCTTGTCTCATCTCTTCTCATATATGTAATCTAATTTCTTCTCAACTAATTTCATCTCAGCTGACCATTGCTCAACCTTTCTGATCTCATGGAAGCTCTTCTGAACTCATCTCAGAGATTCTGTGCGTCAGAAAGCTTTTGCTGTCAGCACTTCCCAGTACTATTTTGTACTACAAAACTTGCACAACGTGCTTCCCAGTACTACTTTGTACTACAAGTGAGTTCGTCTGATGGATGGGGGCAAAAGTGCGGAGCGCAACCAAGATGAACAGCGATGAATTCAAACAAGCGGTGGGCGTGGGTCACTGTGGTGCTTGTATGCCGGATTGTTTGACAAGAAAAGATAGTCCCGAGTAGCCTTTGGAGGTTGGTGATTGCAGCTGTGATAGAGCCAAGAAACGATTATGTTAGGACCTGTTGGGAAAAATGCCAGAAAGGAAGGAAGTATATATTTCAAGACGCTAAGATAGAAGATATTCAACGATTTGTTCAAATAGAAGTTGCCAATTTAGGGGTCGCCCGGAGCCATTTCAAATAGAAGTTGGTGCAATCGCACCAGGTTGCTCGTGGACTGTAAATTTGCCTGTAAAATCTGTCAGATGGAATCTGCACTGGAATTGCCAAATTTTGTGGTATTTGCGAAGGTTTTACAGTCAAACTGGACAATCCAAGTAAGAGGACCTTGAGGTCTTCGGAAGGACATTGTTGCAACTTTAGCTTTTGTGTTGATTTCAAGAAAAACCGCCAAACACCTCGAACAAAAGTAGCTTTTTTATGCTTTTTTGGGATCTCAAAATTTCACAAAAGCTGATCTGGCAAAATTTTCAAATAGAAGATATTCCATCAACAACCCCCATGTCAAATAGAAAATATTCAAAATACTAATTTGCGTGCTGTTCTCTTGATGGAAGAATCATGAACATCTTCTATTTGAAAAATTGCCTCTGCACAACCTGTAAAACATGCAGAAAATGGAAACGCTATGGCAATCTGACAATCTAGGGTGTCAGGGGTCGAGAAAAAAACCGATTTCAATACCTGACCTTCAAAACGCTGGATTTGGAAGCTATGTTCAAAAAAAAGAAAGTCTAGGGTGCCAAGGGTTAAGGGAAAAATAGCGGTTTTATATCTTCTAAAACAGTGAATTTTGGAACAAAAATTGGAAAACCTGTGAAAATTTAGGCCGCCAGGAGCCAAGGAAGAAAAGAACAGAACATGTTGTCATTGAAAACATGTTTTTGCCCAGCAAAACCCCGAAATTTGCAGATAGAATTGGAAGACCGGAAGACCATTAGAAATCCAAGCCGCAGAAGTCCAAAAGGAAAAAAACTGCCATGCCCGCCTCTGCCTGCCTGCCTGCCTGCCTCTGCCTCTAACCCTGTTCGAAAGTTGGGCAAGCGCATTTTTTCAAATAGAAGATATTCAAATTGTTTTTTCGTCCCCGGCTCCTGACCCAGATTGCCATGATTTTCCCAATTTTGTCTGCAACATCTACTGTAGCTTTTTGGAGGTTGGGCAAGCACATTTTTTCAAATAGAAAATATTCAATTTGTTTTTTCGTCGCCGGCTCCTGACCTCCCAGCTCTCTATGAATTGCACAATTTTGTCTGCAACATCTAGCTTTTTGGAGGTTGGGCAAGCGCATTTTTTCAAGTAGAACATATTCAAATTGTTTTTTCGTCCGGCTCCTGACCTCCCAGATTGCTATGAATTTCCCAATTTTGTCTGCAACATCTAGCTTTTTGGAGGTTGGGCAAGCGCATTTTTTCAAATAGAAACTATTTAAATGCGATAAGTTGATTGAGTCCTCGCCAAAGCAAGATCTGGTTCGCCATGGGTGTTGCGTACCGCAGTGTCGCGTAACGCAGCTCAGAAGTTGTTGTCGTTAAATGAGCTCTGGTAAATATTTGTTTGCATGCTGCCCTTCATCGCCGGCTCGAGTGTGCTGGTTGGTATATGGTGTATTGTTATGTGACGTATTGTCAAGTTATGTGCCGTATTGATATGTGACGTATTGTTATGTGATGTACTGTCAAGTTATGTGTTGTATTGATACGTGATGCACTGTTACGCGATGCACCGTTACGTGATGTATTGTTATGCGTTGTATTGTTATGTGATGTATTCTTACTGCATTACATTTTATCAGTAACGCGGAAGGTTGCTTCCCAATTTCTTTTGATAAATGCCAGGACAACCTGAGGCGCTGTGCTGCATACTTGTAGCAAGTGTCAAGTGTGTTTGGCAAAACAAAGAACACGGAAGAACAAGGAAGAAAAAGTAATAACAAGGAAGAGCAAGGAAGAAGAAGGAAGAAGAAAAACGAATAAGGAAGAAGAAGAAGAAGACAAAGAAGAAGAAGAAGAAGAAGAAGAAAAAAACAAAGAAAAGAATAAAAAATAATCATAAGGAACACACTAATAAAAAGAAAAACCACATCAAAAGACGGAAGACGAAGACGAAGAAAATGAACATGAGGTATGAAAGACGAAGGAAACGAAGAAAAAGAAAAACGTAAGGAGAATCGGAAGGAAAAGGAGGGCCTTTTCAGTAAAACATCAACGTCAACCCTTCATCAACCCATTGTTGGGTTGATCAAAACTATCAACACCATCTCCAGGTCGAGTGATTTTAGCTCTGCAGCAGCTGTCATGCCGGCTCCGACGGGAGGCAACTTGGTGGAGGTAACGGGTTGCTAAATGTTTCACTTGAGGTGGGGAAATGTGGGTAATATGGGGGTGGGTCAAAACCTATTATTATCAATTCTAATGGGATGAACATCCATTTACCAGCTATTTTGATGTTCACCAGGGGTACAAGGTTTTGACACACTGCCATATAAACCTTTGGGATAGAACTGCGGATGTTGAGGTCTTACCTAAACCAACAATCTTTGGCATATCAAGAACCAACAGTGAGGGTGATATTAATCGAAAAACATGATGCAGCCAACAATGAAGGGGATAGTAACTACCAACTTCAAGCAACAATGATGGAATATAGCCAACGAAAACGGGGGTGTTACTCGGCGTCCGAGGTGAAATAGGCTTGTCGAAGTGGTGATGTTTACCATTAACAAATACTACGTGTACTCATCCATGCTTGTTACAGCAGTTTTCGCTGATCAAGTGTGCGATGTTTAAATATGTTTAAATTGGATATTTCAACATCAATAATGGTCCAAGACAACAGGAAGACGACCGAAATTGCATATTTTTGGACTGAACTCTGAAGTCTGGATCTCTTTCAGTGCTTTATGCGTTATTGCGGTCGCAACCTCCAAAGCATTTCGTCTCCAGCTTCAGGAGACAAGCGAAGGCAAAGTCTTCCCTTCCGAGAGGGTTCTCGAGAAACTTGAAGAGCTCGAGAGGGGCTACTCCAATGAGGCAACCGCCCGAGCGAAATTTGGCGAACTCTTATGATTTCGTGAATCTTGTGCCTGGATTTTTGCAGCTCTACAGGTGACATCTCCTGAGAGGCTTGTTGAAAGCCTTGCTGATGTTCAAAGAGAGGCGCTGCTTTGGATACCAATCATGCAGTTTTGCTATTGGGATGTGCCGGAATTCTGATGGACACACATAGAAACAGATGATCAGGCCAACAACTGTGTACTTTTTTTTGCTTTTATCTGATCAACTTCCCAGCTGGGGGTTGTTGATACCCATTTTGGACGATCAGTTGCTGAGTTACACACCAAGCGTTTCAGCTGCCCATCAGGTCAACATCTCAGTGCAAGGCTTCACGATGCAAGAGGCCCGGAGTCCTGTCGGCCGCGCGTGGGATTTGTGGGGTAGCCATGGGTAGCCCACTTTCGAACCCACTGGGAACCCATGTAGCATTCAGAAAGTGGGCTACCCATGTAGCTTTCCAAATGATCGCGGCATTTCGTGACGCGACTTTGGAGCAGTTGCTAGTGGCCTGACCGCAGACCACTGAGGTGTTGCTTGATCCGGTCTTCAGCGTCACCGTCTCAGAGAGCGAGAGGCCTTTGCTAATGCTATGACCAATCTGGGCTTCGGACTGAGGATGAAATTCTGCCGAGACTGCTGTGGCCCAAGGGCTTGGCAGAGACGGACATCAAACAAATGGAAAGACAAGTAGGGTTTGAGTTTGGGATTGTCAGGTTTTTTCTTCTAGATAACCAGGAGATAACATTTTTATTTTTTCTTTACACTCTTGATTCAACTTTGAGGTGGGCGGTTTTGTCTTCGGAATCACCCGATGGCACTGGCGGTTTGGGGCTAATTGACAGACAGGCACATGGAGAGTTTTTTGATGCTGCTGGAGCTGTTTCCATTCTAGGGCTGATGTCTTGACATCTGGGTTCTGTTTTTCTGGACTTTGAAATCTTGGAATGGACTGCAGCAAATCATTACAAGTTTTCAGCTTTACAGATCTTTACAGTATCTCTGTCAAGCATCCCTGACTTTCATGTCTTTCCACGACAGGCAGGCTGCAAAGATCCAGTCTGGGATGAGCCAGTGAACCTGGCATCCTTGTGGGACAAGGAAACAGCGACTGGTTGGTACCTCTACCGCTTGGCAGCCCTAGATCCAACCATGTGACCTGCAGAAAAATGTTGCGACACGGGAGCAGATGGACCCTGGTGCCCTGGGCCCTGTGTGTGTGATCAAGGTCTGGTTTCCACGTTTGGGGGACGTGTGGAAAATAAGAGATCTTCCGGGACTCATTGATGCGATTTTCACACCAATTCAAATTGCCCAGCAGGTTTGGAACATGGCACACCCCTGCACTGCTTTACATCGCCACCATGGTCAGTAGATCCCATGGGCCATGCTGAGGTCAAAGTCTTAGTGAGAAGCTGCATCAACCTCAGTGGTATTCACAGTTTCATGGTATCAAAATTGGGCGCCGTGCCGGGCCAGAGTCATACTTTTTTCATCTTTTTTCCGTTTGGTTGATGGCTTGAATTTTCGGGAGCTGCAGCGACTCAGCCCGCTTTGGAGAAATTAGGCTTCGACCGTGGAATTGAAACAAGTAGATTCATTCTCCAGTATATGTCATTATATCTCATTTTATTATTTTTTATATCCATGTATATATATATATATCCTTTTGAAAATTATATATATATACGTATATACACTAAGAGCAATCCATCAATCAATCACTCAATCAAATATTCGATCAATCAGTCTACCTACCCACCTACCGATCTACCTATATCTGTCTCCATTTGTCTCTATTTGTTTATCTGTCTGTCTATATCTGTTTGTTTTTCTGCCTGTCTGTGTGTCTATCTATCTATCTGTCTATCTATTTGTCTGTCTTTCTGTCTATCTATCTGTCTGTCTGTCTATCTGTCTTTTGAGCTATCTATCTATCTGTCTGTCTATCTGTCTATCTGTCTATCTATCTGTCTATCTGTCTATCTGTCCATCTGTCCATCTGTCCATCTGTCCATCTGTCCATCTGTCCATCTGTCGATCTGTCTATCTATCTATCTATCGATCTATCGATCTATCGATCTATCGATCTATCGATCTATCGATCTATCGATCTATCGATCTATCGATCTATCGATCTATCGATCTATCCATCTATCCATCTATCCATCTATCTAATCTAATCTAATCTAATCTAATCTAATCTAATCTAATCTAATCTAATCTAATCTATCTATCTATCTATCTCTACATATATACCTTGATGTATACAGCAGGTACCACTGAAAGCAATGATGAGATTCTGATTAAACTTTGAACCAATTCCATATCGTCTTTGGCTCAGGCACCGGCTCTGCCAATCTGGAATACTGCCATTGAGTCGACGAGGAGAGGAACTGGTATTCGGTCAGGGAAGATATTGGAAAGTGCTATTCCATGAACGCATCATATCAAAAGATAATGGACACACAATGATGCTTCCAGCTCGAGAAAGAACACTTTTTCCGTGCGCAATTGCTAGGTGTGGAAATTGATGCGCCCGCTGCGTTTCTGCGTTTGAGTCCCAACTGGGGAATTCCTCACCCGAAGAATCATTTGATCACTTTGAAAGTCACTTTGAAAGCCGTGCAACTCACTAGCAACAAATTTATCAGCGCAGACCGCACCAAACCCTCACGTCCACAGCACTCCACAGTCACAGCACGTCCCAGCATGTTGCAGCACTAACAAACATTAGTTGCATTTTTGCTCAGTATTTCTTCAACTCACCCCTCTGTCTTTATTGGGAGATTTGCTCACGCTCAGGCGGGAGTCACATATCCCTGGAGGCTCGGAATTCCCAGATCTATACCAGACCCAAAATTGATTGGGATATATTGGGGAATATGAGGGTTTAGTATGGTTTAGTATTGATTGGTTCGTCAACATGTTGCATTGGAGTTGAAGTGTGCCAGAACGATCTGCAGTACCTCCTTGAACAGATGGATTCGCTAAGGTCAAAGATCACCTCTTCGGGAGCTTACCATCAGGGAGAATGCACGGAAAGGACGCTGACACTGCTGACACTGGTATCTTCAAACCTGTAGGAACTGACTTTGTCTGATTAAATAGGGTACTCCAAAATGTGGTGGTTTGTCATAATCACTTTCCCCATTGAAATTTCAGGTATTCGCCGTTTTCAAACACACCCAACTGTTGTGTTCTGTTTGGACAACTTGAAGCTGTAACACCTCCCAGTCCCAGGACTGTTCCAGGGGCCACTACTGGGTGTGACGCCCGGTGGGTTTGGAGATTGGCATAGACATTTCATTGTTGCCTCGTTTTGTGGCGATGATGATGATGATGATGATGATGATGAGGATGAGGATGATGGTGATGATGATGAGGATGAGGATGACGGTGGTGACGGTGATGATGATGATGATGATGATGATGATGGTGATGATGGTGATGATGGTGATTATGGTGATGACGATGACGATGACGATGACGATGACGATCAGGACGATGATGATGATGATGATGATGATGATGGTGGTGGTGGTGGTGGTGATGATGATGATGAGGACGAGGAGGGGAGGATGAGGATGATGATGAGGATGAGGTTGATGAGGATGAGGATGAGGATGATGACGATGATGATGATGGTGGTGATGATGATGATGACGATGACAATCATGACGATGATGATGTTGATGATGATGGTGGTGATGATGATGATGGTGATGATGATGATGATGATGATGATGATGATGATGAGGACGAGGAGGGGAGGATGAGGATAAGGATGAGGATGAGGATGATGACGATGATGATGAGGATGATGATGAGGATGATGACGATGATGATGAGGATGATGACGATGATGATGATGATGATGAGGAGGAGGAGGAGGATGAGCCCCATTTCATTTGACCGACAGTTTCGGGCTGGTTGAAACCACCAAGCAGACATTTCTAAGGTCTACTACTTCGAAACAGCAGAGCTGGCCTTCCTGCACCTTGCTCGAAGCCTACCACCAAAGCTTCAAACGTTGAGCAGATTGGGAAGTGCCGCCCGTCGGGATGCACGGGCCCTTCACACATGTTTTGCCAGAGTATTCGAGCACATCTTTCTCCACCAGATAGGGGCCAGAGGTAATCCTGCTATCCACAAATTTCAATGAAGTTCCCACTAAGACCATCATCCACTGTCATCTACCCAGGTTTCACATCCGGCCTTTGGAGCTGGGATTGAACCGAATGCAGAGATGGAGGTTCCATGGGCTGGACAGGTATCTCAAATGCCAAGCGCCCGATAAAGGGTCCAGTTCACTGATGGGGAACCGGGCAAACATGTATTCTGAGGGAGCTTTGATAAGAAACATGTAGGTATGCAAGACAGCTGTCTTCAGTTCTAGTTGTCCACTAGCCCATTATTCATTCTGGGGTTTTATCGCCCATCATGCCTCCAACAGGCACCGTGGTCTGCAAAAGACCGACCCAGATTGAAGCACGCGCAACATCGCCAACACTTGGATTGAACGATATTGAACGAACTGCCCTATTTCAACATTTCAACGGTCCATAGCTGGTTGGTGGTTTGGAACATCTTTTATTTTCCATATGTTTCCATAATATATGGGATAATCCTTCCCAATTGACGTTCATATTTTTCAAGATGGTTAAAACCACCAACCGTCCATAGCCATTCCATGCCATTGGCGAACGATCCAAATGATCCAATGCAGGCGGATCCCACATCACTGCGCGTGTCACTGGCGATCAAAGACACGGGCCGAGGAGAGATGCTCTTGGTGATATAACACCCCAGTGGATGGAGGGGGTTACAATGGGTTGCACAATTACATCACTATAAGTAATTAATGGATTTATTATTGATGTTTCTTGGGGATGAACACACACACATATATATATATGTTGACTGCATATGTGTATATATATATATATTGTGATTGGTGTCACAATGGCAGCCAGTTGAAGAACCCTTCACAAAACGTCCTGCTGCAAAGAGATCGGCCAATCCCTTTTTTCACCGCGTCAGACCAAATGTCCTTGCTTTGGATGCTCTGATGAGCAATGTTGTTTCCAAGCTCAAAATGAGCTCTGCACGACCAAGCTCTGTAGAGCTTCACCAGCTATGCCGTCCACGGCAACGCAAATGGCTCAAGCACAAGCCCTCCCGCCTGCCCAAGGGCTGCCTCAGCCCATATGTGTCTGCGGCATGAACTGGTTGTACCCTGCATGGATGAAGGTTCGCTGGAAGGCAGTGTTTGGTTGTAAGGACCTGGGAACTCCCCTTGGATAGCTATGCAATTCACACTCCCAAAACTTCAACATCATGTCTTTTCTGCCTCATAAGCACTTGATTGCAACCATTGCATGCGGCTTCGAGCTGAAGCTCGGTCTTTGAGAATGGCATGTTCATCATGTAGTTTGTATGTTCCCATCTCCAACGTTTGGCGCAGGAAGGTTGCTTGCATCACTTTGGTCAGGGCGTCCGCCAATTGTGCACCGCTGTGTACCCACCTGAGCGTTATGCCTTCACTGAGGAGATCTTTTATTGATCTTGCCAACAATTGTGTTCTGTATTCCTGGCAACTCGGTGGTGCTGTACGGGTTACAAGATCATAAAGTGATTTACAATCAGTAACTGCAATTGAAGGTTCTATTGGTTTAAATGTAGGAGCTGCAATTGTAGTTGGGAGGTTGTTCAAGGTTTCTTTTGGACGTTTCCAGTTGAGATTTGGATTGAGTAGCCACCCCCAGAACAGGCGAATCCATGATAGCTGATCCAGTGTTGCATTCAGGGACATTGTCTCAGCGGAAAGTGTGCTCACGACCACTTTCTGTATCTTTTTGCATCCCCAGCTGATGGCATTGACTGGGCATGAGTAGTTTTGGGTGATATTGGAGTGAGTGGCCATGATAATTGATCCTGAATGTGAATCAGGTTGTTTAGGTGATGAGAATGATGCATCCGAAAACGCAAGGAATCTCAGGTGATTAATGGAAATTGGCTGAATTTTGATCTTCGTGTCTTTATGGCGTTTAGCTTCGTGTAAGGTCTTGTTTGCTTCAATCAGTGTATTGATGGTGGCAGTGTTGATTGCACTTTGCAAATGGCTCAAACGGCTTGATAGGTCAGGACGTGTGTTGACGGCTGCATAC